GCCAGCCAGTAGTCCCACCAGGTATGGCGCGGCGCGGCTCGCGGGACGTACGATTATGTAGAAGTACGCCTCAAATACATTACTGTACCTGGAGGAATGTCATGATTACAGACCAGCAAACTATCGGACAACTGTTGTACGATTGTCGATTATTTCGCAGCCAATTAAACTGTTTAGGAGTAGTGTGCGCACCTCCATATAAGCTCAAAGGAATCAAAACGAGACACTTGTGCGATAGTTTAGTTAAAGTTGTCCGTGTATACGATATTGAAACTCCCATTTAAATATCTAATAGGTGACAGGAAGTACCGCTTTTCCGTGTAACACTTTAGGCTGTGAAATATCAGTAAATAGCGCTGACTTTGTCAACATTTAGGTGTCGTGTGTAAGATTGCAGCATTAATTAGACTGGATCAATACAAGGACATCGCCAACCAATGATCTACAGAAAGCTAATAATAAAAATGTCCCCAAAGAAAATGCTTCAATGAAAAACTAATAGGTTATCAAGATATTCTAAAAACCCTAATATTTTGAGTTAATTTAGATATTCATCTTACAATTTTCACATCTCCTTTGGTTGTACTGTCCAACAGTCAGCACCTGTCATACGGTTCTTACCTCCTATGGTAATGCCTGAAGGCAGTGGTGACGTCATATCCGACAGCGACCAGCAGCACGGCGCTGAGCAGCAGCAGCGCGAGGCGCCGCCGCCGCAGCAGCAGCGCGCACAGCAGCGCGCCGCACGCGTGCAGATAAGTCTCCGTGGACAGGTACCATGATATCTGCATACACTGCGATGCGACCACAAACACAAGAGGATTACGCAAGTTAACATATTTTATTCCATCACCGTCATCTTCATCATCATAATCTGTCTCCTAATTCTACTCCCGTAGCATCGGCGCAACAGTTTTTGTACTCCAAATAACTCTATCATACGTCATCTCAGTCATCACTCCCTTTTTAATCATGTCACCTTTCACGCAATCTATCCATCTCTTTCTAGGTCTACCTCTGCTGGTGTAATATTTTTTTAATTCCATCGGATGTAAGCATTTCGTTTTAGAAGATGATATGAACAAATACCAAAAGAAATTAAACAGAGATTTATGATGAAAGCAGATAATGAAAATAATTTTGATATGAAAAGAGAAGACGATAGGTAAGTGAGCGCCAATAGCCTAATGGTTTAGGGTACGGCCCAACATATTCTAAAAAGCCTAGAGCTTAGTTATAATGGTAAAAGAGATATTAGTGAATTTTTAAATAAATCTGCTGATATTCAACAAACATGACTAACCTGTTTCTCTTGAGGATAGAACAAAGTGATGTACAATAGATTCCTCCACCAGTTAACATCGCAGTTGATGTCCTGCTCCGGGAATGTGAGGGGCTGCGTGTCGCGCGACACACGGGACAGTACTGCCGTCAGGAAAATCATGTACGCGTACGGTGGTAGCAACCTAGTCATAAAACGACCGTGTGTAAGCTACTGGAAGTTACAATAGAATGAATTACAATTGACAAAAGAAAAAAAGGTAACTCTTGAGACAGTGGAATAAAAAGACAGCAAGAGGGAAATAACACAAAGATAAGAAAAGGATAAAACAAAAGACACACCTAACAACTCTATTGGTGACGAAGCAGACAAATTGGAATAGTTTCCCGCAATGGCCGCCGCAGCTGACCAGCTCGCGCAGCGTGTACCGACTTGACAGGTAGAAGAAATGGTGTGCACTAAATGTGCCGCTGTTAGCGATCAATTCCAAATTTAAAAAAAAAACACGTAAAAGTAATCAGAAACCTTGGAAAGGTCCCTTTCTCGATTAAATAACGTCACAATTTATAGGAACGTACTTACCTTACAAATATTAATGTATCAAATGCCAAAGTTCCGGTTGTCAGAACAGGATAACTTCCCATCCATCCATCAGCATCATTAGGATTCTCTGCAACAAGTAATACTCAATAAAATGCACCAAGTTCAAAGTGAGATTGTCGTTAATACAGCAACATACCTGTAAGATATTTCACTAGCATAGATACATGTATAAATATTATCCAAAATGTTGAAAAAATCCTTAATAAATGCACCACAGCTAGGTCTTGATTGGCCATTGTTGTGTTAAAAATTCTTTTGACGTTATGTTTTAAAGAGAAACTCAGAAGCAAATTTAAAAAGAGACTATCTCTTTTTCTGTATTCCGTGTTGGTTAGACTGGCGCATGTGTTGTATTGTCGGGGACACGCAGGCAACGTAGACATAGGTTTTGGCTGTACGTTTTGTTTCCTATACTTCCCACATCGCTTGCAACTTGCCAACTGTCTCTGTGCTGCCATTACATCTAACGTAAATTTCGGAACCTCGTTTCCCTTTACTACTTTCTTTATCGCTTCTGTATTCATAGTTTTGAGCATTTCTTTATTAAATTTACCACTATCTTTGTTATTTGTTGATTTTTCTTTTTTTAAATCAACAAAAACTTGTACTAGTTCGCATTGCTTGCGTATTTGTTCGTCATATCTCTGTTTATTAAGATCATATTTATGTTTATCTATAGTTAATGTTCCTGTCTGTTTTTTTATACAATTAATGAAACCATAATCGACAATAGTCGCTATAATTGCTAGTGCTACTAGTATTATTGTAACGAGAATTATAAGAACTGCTCCAGTGTCATATTTAACATCGTAATACTCCTCAATATGCCTTAAAGAGGTGATTTTAACGGACCTGGGTATCGTTCCGTTAGACTTTAGATTGTCGTTTAGCATTATTGAGAAGTTAACGAGGGATTCTACATCCTCGGGTGAACAGGAGCGAGGCAAACATAAACCAAGAACTATATCGTATGGCTGTAAACAGAAAGGTAACTTTAGAATCTAGAATAGTTTAATACCTGAACAGCAAATAAAAAATTATGTTACTACCTTTGGGAGTTTAAATTTAGTAATATTAAGAGAGATCTCCACAGCAATGTATGCTAGTCGATGTGAGGGCACGTCGTCCAGATATGCACTTTGTGTCAATGCTTGCTTTCCATCATAACTCGGCCACGCGTGAGAATCTATTAAAAAAAAGTAGCATTGTTTTTTTCTATATATTTATTTATGTGAACGTCTCCAACTCAAACTTACGATCATTGAAATCTCTTTCTCGTCGGACAAATCCGTTGACTCGATATCGCTCAGCATTCGATACATGTTTCTGGTCCTAAAAAATACAGTGATTGTTTTATACAGGTTATTTTAGTCTTAAGCACTTGGTAAATATTATTCCTAAAGTGGTGGTCAGTACTTACCAATCGAAAACAAAGGTCTTTGGATCCGAGCCATAGACGGTTTCCTTGAAAGAAACCCGACTGATACCTTCCTGATGCGTCAACGGCTAAAAGTCATAATTAAAATTTAAAAAAAAAACAGATTATCTTACTAATACGAACTACATATGGTCTATTCCTAGACAAGAGTTCTTGGCGCGTCATTTTTATTTCTCGGGTTACTAAACTAATCAACTAATAAAACAGATTGCTCGTTAAATGAACGTAACCACTTGTAATACATTAAAAAAACAAAGAATTCTCAGATGATTTCGCTTTCATTGCTTTTTTATCGATCGTAAATAATTGAGAGCTCTCACTGATATCTGAATTCGAATGTGCGAATATAACGTTTATTGTTTAGATTTTACAGCGTACATTTGAATACAATAAGCAGATGCAGTTTGTCGTTGATTATGCGTAAAATGAGTCTATTGAAATGAGATCACATAAGAGTTTACACGCACGCTGGATACGTTCCGCTGAGGGAGAGCCATAAACAATGAATAGACAGATAGATGCTGTTTACGTACCAACTGATATATCCAAGGAACCGGAGATGTGATTAATTATATGAATTTTAAATAAACTGCCCATAAGGAACATCTATATTATTTTAAATAGGAATGATTCATATTTTTGTATGTATTGAAATATCTCAAAAACTAGTAGTTTGATATCAAAAATTCTTTCACCATTAAAAAGCTACTTTAATGCTGAGTAACAGGCTATATTTTTTTTAACTTTACGTAGACGAAGTTGCAAGCTACAGTAAGTTTTTATATTAGGAATAAATAAAAATGAGGGAAAATTATTAAATCAGCTGAACATTTTTTTACTTACTGCTGTATGCCCAAGCCCGGCCTTCCACGAGCGCCTTGTAAAGCGTGCTCAAGTCATCCCAGCACTCATGGTCAACGTTCACATGCACTCCGTTTATTATTTTCGGCCAAACCAACGACAAAAAAGTGGGATCATAGACAATAAATAAATTCTCAAAAATGTCATTCCTAATTCGCGCGCTTTTGCTCGACTTCGAATGCTCCTTTTTTGAATTATGCTGGCCAGTATGCACCACAGATACTATAACGAGAAAAATTATAAAAGCAATGCTTTTGTTCATTTTCTTAATCTTAAAATTGAACACCAAAGCCAACACGTGCGGACTGTTAGCGGTCATCAACTTCAATAAAGAGATCGCTCGCTCGCGCGGCAAATCATCTCTGAAATTAATTCATATAGACAAGCGAGTCTCGTGCAATTATTTCTAAAATCCCAGCAACGTTAATCGATGTTCATTTGCTTTTTAATTTATTCAAACACGTAATGAAAAGTGTAAGCAAATGTGTTACTTTATTCATTTCTTTCTTAAGATCAGATCTTACAGATATCCTGAAATCGCAATTATTTTCTATGCGCATTTAAAAAATCGAGGGTTTTTTTACTTTACCTGTTTACTTTTTAGGGTCACAAATATTGAGTTATACAAGGAATAATAAAAGTCACATTAGAATGTTAGAACATATTTATTACATGTCAAAAGACTGTAAGTTATACAATTACATTATCTGGTGTACTTAATAGTAAATACAATTAGCTAGATTTATCTGATACTGCGACATGTCACTGTTGTCTGTAGGACGCTCACACACACACACGACACAAGGCGTACGTCACGCGCACGACGCGGACACGTCACGCGCACGACGCGGGCACGACACGAACACGTCACGCGCACGACACGGACAGGGCACGGCCGCGTTACATCTGTCGCAGCCGTTTATTCGGCCGCTGTCCGTCGTTCATGAAGCCGCCCTGCAATATACAAATTATCGTTAATTCAAAATTTTAACCTTGATTTTACACATTCTAACCTATCAAAATTAAATAAAAATTATAGACAAGGAATGCGAATTCCGTTAGTACGACAAAATCTGTACCACTTTAACATTGGCTAACTATTTAAACTTACGAATAAATTTTATTACAAAAATGCCTATTAAATAATTAGTTAATCGAAACATCGACAAAAAAATAAACATAACCTACTAATCAATAGGCGATGTCGACCATGAAATTTATAATTGTTTTATAAACAAGTTCTACACACACCTACGGGACTGGCTTTTAAATTATAATTGCTGGAAAGCCTCCATTTTATTCAATAAAGTAAATAATCGATACTCTAATAGAAATATTATAGTGAAAGTAATGAAGCAAGCACACTACAGTTACCTACAATCGAGACTTATTTAAAATTATTTTTAACAATAAACAATAAAAACATTAATCAGGTTAGTTTAAAAAAAGATTAAGGGCCGCCATACACGGATAGTTTCAACCAATCGACTATACACAAACCATTTAGTTAAAATAATGCTGATAGGACACCAACTGGTTTACCGTCCGTGTATGGCGTCCTTACACCTGTTTACCTTTGTTATTTCTGCGTGTAAAGTCTACGGGTAGCTCTGAAAAGAATGCACAGAACATATTAATGGCAAAGAGAGCAGACATAAAACACATTTCGAGACCTTATTTCAAATCACTGCATTTCTTTGCACATTTTTCTATGCATTCGTTTCTGAATGTTATATTAAAATAAAACATGCAAACTCAAATACTAATCAAGCGAATTAAAAAACTAGCAAAAAAATACAGTTTTATAGTAAAATTCTAAAGTTGATATTGTTTAATTAAAAATAATAATTGAAATATAAACATTATTTAAATAGTAAATATTAAAAAAAATCAAAAACCTTTACAGCATTTTATTTATAACATAATTTAGTCAAGCATTAAAATTGTTAACTAAAAAGCACCATAACAGAATAAAATAAAAAAAATTGTCTATGTTTCAAGTGCAAGCAGTTCTTTACGATAAAAAGGCAAAAAGCTGTTATTTTAAATATATTGTAGTCTATTCATGCAATTTCCCTCAATATGAACAATAGTTATAGATATATAGTGTGGAGCTCACCGGGCGGCCCATGAAGGGCTGCGGCGGCATGTACGAGTTGACGGGGGCGAAGCCTCCGCGCGGGAACGCACCGCCGCGGCCTCCGAACCCGCGCCCGCGCGCTCCTGCACACAACATTATTATAAATAAACAATTATTACAAAACAAGGGGAGAATTATTATCTTTTTCGCCTTATTCCACTTACCTGAGTTTGGCGTAAAAGGCTGAACTAATAGAATTTATTTATATTGTCAAGTAATAAAAATACTAAACCGTTAAGTACATAAACATATTCTAAAAATTAATATTCTACGTATTTTCGGCACAATTTGACCATACATTTCAATGAGGCGTTATATCAGAATTCATTCCCTTACAAACACTATCAATATCATACACCATCCACACTATCTTCGATTTACTCTCGTAGCTACC